CCATTACTAATCACGAGCCCACATTAGGGAATAAAAGAAGCGTTTCTCGGTGAAGACATGGTTGTACTATGTGTTTTGCTTTCCGAATAATGCTGTAATCAAGGGTTGGAGCGCTCTGTTTGTGAGCATCCGCGCAGTAGACAGTTCGACGCACGAAATTGGTGAATTTGTTGTTTTCACGAATTCGTTTCTTTCCACGAACTTTTTGTTTCAGCGCGGGAAGTTTGTGAAATCATTTTTTACACGAACTGTGTTGTTGTCAGGTGTTACATCCGTGGAGAGCTCGTTGTTTTCTTTTTTTGTGCCAGAGCTTCGCTGGGTCCGACCCAACGCCTCCCCCGCGAACGCCATCACGATACAGCAGTCGGTGTTAGCCACCGCTCGCTTGGAATATGTGTTCGACTTATTTGAAGCTGTCTTCTTGGCCCATGACTCAGTAATTTTTTCCTTGTCTAGCGACGGCGGCTATAGTACAAGTTATAAGGACTGAACAAGTGCTTGCCCCTCCCTTTCTCGGCAATTCGTGCAAGAAACGTTCTGCTGTCAGGCAAACCCTGCCCGAACAGTTGTGTAGGGCGCCCTTTCTCCATATGTAGATGTAGAACGTTTGTGCCATCCTTAGCCGCAGCACCCATGCAAGTCAACAGCCGCCAACGCGGGTCTGTGAAAAATCGGTGGCGGGTTTAGCAGTCTAGCGACAGTGCAGAATCGGAGTTGGCACCTTTCAAGATGTGTGATAGGGGGGATGTTTAGGATATACGATGAACCCGAATCGCCACATGAGGAGCGTGTTTGACATATATTATGATGAACGGGAGGTGCCATAGGAGGGGGCGCGTTGAATAAGACGTATGAACTTGGATCGCCACATGAGGGGCGTGACGGGCTTCAGAAATATGATGAACCGGACTCGCCACGTGAGGGGCGTGGAAAAGGTGTATTGTGATGAACCAGAATCGCCAGAGGAGGGGGCGCATTTAAGATCTACGATGAACCGGAATCGCCACATGAAGGGCGTGCTTAAGATGTACAATGTACGATGAACCGCCATGGGGAACTGATTTCGCCTGTTTACCAAATATGACGAACCGGAATCGCCGTAATGCCCCAATAGTTTGGGGCAGAACGAGGCTTTGCAAATTGTAATTCCTCAAGAGCCTGATGCAAAGCAAGCCCTGCAAATTGGAATTCCGCAATAGCTTGACACAAGACAGGAGCCTCGAAATTGTATTCCCTGAATAGCTTGCGGCAAAGCAAAACCTTGCAAATTATATTTCCACAATAGCTAGACGCGAAGCAAAACCCTGCAACTTGTAATTCCCCAGAAGCTTGATTCAAGACAGGAGCCAAGAAATTGCAACCCCCCCAAAAGTTGGGGTAAAACAAAAACCGTGCAGATTGTAATTCCCCAGCGGCTTGACAGAAGACTGGAGCCTCGAGATTGCAATCTCACAATAGCTTGGGGCAAAACAACACCCTGCAAGTTGGAACTCCCCAATAGCTTGACACAACGCAACACCCTGCAAATTGGAATTCCCAAATGGCTTGACACAAGACATGAGTCTCGAAATTGGGGCAAAACGGGACCCTACAAAATGCAATTCCCCAATAGTTTGATGCCGGCAATCGGGGGGACCGCCAGCGTGAGGAAACCCAAAAACCACTCCCCGTATGTATGTATGTATGTATGTATGTATGTATGTATGTATGTATGCATGGATGTATGTATGTTCGTATGTATGTATGTAAGTAAGCATGTATATATGATTATATACGTAACATGTTATATGTGGGGAGATAGATGAATAGATAGGTACGTAGGTAGGTACGTAGGTAGATACGTAGGTAGGTAGGTAGGTAGGTAGGTAGGTAGGTAGGTAGGTAGGTAGGTAGGTTGGTACGTAGGTAGGTAGGCACGTGGTCCCTTATGAAGCCCTGCAACACCCGATAATGAGAACAGAGCATGCATGAAGCTTAATACAACGCTGCGCAACCCTTGCTTTAAAAACATGTGGACCCGTAGGGTTAGCTAGCCTCAAGCCCGACGCTTTGGGGTCCAGTGTCTTGTCTACATTTCCCGCCCACCTACTTTGGAGGTAGTGACCTGTAAGGTACTTTATTCAGGGTATACCCCCGAAAACCTGTTAAAATGTTCAAGGCCCCTCTCCTAAACCCCAACAAGACGCAGAAGCCCCTTAAACCACACCAAAAAGCATGGAAACTAGCCAAAAGAACTCCAATTCTATTTATCCTACGGCCCAACCCGAAACCGGCACAGCACTGCTCAACGGAAAAGCCGCACCCAGGCCTATCGTGCCGGAAAAGACTGGCTCGAAAAGACGATCCTCGTCTCAAAGTACAAAAGTTAGGCTTCTAGAGCCACAAGGGTTTTAGAGATTTAGGGCTTCGAGATTTAGGGTTTGAGGTTGGGGCATGCGGCGCTTTGGAAGAGGGTTTGGGGCCTGAGGTTAACGGGTTGGAATTTGGGGTGGTGGAGCTCAGGCTTGATTTGGAGATGTGCTTTGGCTTAAGGTTTCGGGATTAGGGGTTTAGGCGTTGAGGTTTTCAGGGGATGAGGGGGGTAAGGGGGTAGGGTTTAGCGGTATAGGCTGGTTTAGGGTGGGCCCAGGGTTTCGGGTTTTGTGTTTGGACCGGTTACTAGCATTCGCTTCTTTATCGGGGGGCCAGGCAGGTCTTTCCTGTAGAGCTTCTATTAAAATACCTTGGTCCTTGAACACCAAAGTCTTATGATCCATATAAAGAACCCCAAATAAGGATTCAAGGTTTTCTTATTCAGGCTCCTATATTTCCGAACAGTGGAGCCCTTTTGCCAAAAGTCGAGATCCTAAGTCGTAAACCTCAAGCTTTAGCTCCAAACCTCAAACCTAAATCTTGAATCAAGCCACGGTTTAGTAGGGCCTGGGTCAAGACCCAAAGCCTAAATTTCCCGAAAATTAAGCTTGAGGCAGTCACGAATAAACCTCACGCAACAACCGTAAGCAAAAGCTCCCTCTACCCAAACCCCAACCTTACACTGCTAAACGCCGTTAACTTCATAAAACTCTTACACCGCCCCCCGTAGGGAGCCCTCATAAAGCTGCTCCAAGGACCCCCCAGGCCCCTCCACTCCAAAACGGATTCGGCTCAACCACGGCTTAGGATTTAGGGTTTAGGGTTTAAGGATTTAGGGTTCAGGATTTATGGTTCTGGGATCTGGGTTCAGGTTCAGGCTTCCGAGATGTCGCACTGCAAGCGTTTCACCCCCGCACTCTGAAGCTAAGTATACGGCAAAAGCCTTCAAAATTGGAGTAGGGTTTCGGTGTATCATATCTTGAGTTTGCAGGGCTTAGGATGTATCATAAGACAGTTTTCAGAAGGAGCCCTAATCAATAGTATCGGTAGTTATTCCGGCTTCTATTTTCGAAGCCTGATTAATTACCTCTGTTATCCCCATGGGGTTTCTCATAAAAGCAATACCATAACCAGTGATTGAGGCCCCCCGTATTACAAGCACCTCCGGAAAACAGAAGATCAGGTAAGGACATTTTCATGCTGAGGTTCTCTTTTCTACGCTTGATGATATAAATCCTGTGCGACCCATAATAAGGACTATGCCATAATTCCCAAATTCAATTTTAGGGTCCTTAGGGTAATTCCGGATATATATATATAATATATATATATATCATCAACAGTAGTTTAGAGTTTAGGGTTTATCTGCTCGTTCAGGGCGTTCGGACACTGCTGTTACTTCGTTGTAGCTTCCACCTGAAACCCTAAACCCCTAAACCCCTAAACCCTACATACCCAAAACCTTAAGCCCTAAACCCCACCTTATAGACCCCAAACTCCTAGCCGCAAGGCTCTAAGCCCCTGACATCCATTGACTCACCCTAAACCCTAAACCCTAATCTTCAACCTTCCAGGCTCATTGTCTTCTTTCGGACTGGTATCGGGCGCCAAACACGGCACCCTTGGCTGAAGGCTTTCCCTAGGTCCTGAGTAGTACCCCTTTGCCCCTTTTTAGTGTATGGTTCCCTGATTAAATAAGTTGAATAACAGGAGCAAGGGTACCCTTATTATTAACCCTGGGCATCAAAACAGCCCAAAAGCCTCATATGCTAGGGTCTATGGGCTCAAAAGCCTTAAAAATTGAGTCCTTTGAGGGTAAGGGTAAGCGGACTTTCCTTTGCCGGTTGAAGGTTTAGGGGGTTCCAGCTGACCGGAGCCTGCTTTCGATTTAGGTTCGGGGTTTAGGATTTAAGGGTTAGGGCTTAGGGTTTAGGGTCTAGTGTGTTTTCGTTTCGGTGTGTTCCCAAAACTTCAGAAGCATGTGAAGATGAGCCCCACGTGGCCGTGGCTCAAGGCGGCATCAAGGAAGTGAGTTTGGAAAAGAGCCATGCGCTTTGCTGTGCCACTGTAGCTTCCGCTACAGTGGTAGCGGAGCTCGGCGATCCGGGGACCACGTTTGAAGGCCGGTTGGTCGGAGACGCGGTGATCGCGCTGCTTGCGACAGCATAGCATGACTGAACCCACAGCCGCTGCACAACCGGTGCCTGAACAAGATGATGACGACGAGTTGACCGGCGAAGGAGACCGTTGGAGGAACTATAGAACTGGAGGCGAGGAAGCCTCCACGGACCACCCTCCTGGTTTCACGCCGACAGCGAGACAACGCCGCAGTGCAGACGACCTTGCTGCCTTTGAAGAGTTTCTCCAAAGACGCCGCGGGAGGCGGCAGCCTCCGAGAGACACGGAAGCGGATGAGGACTACGAGGACAACACGACTGGCAGGAGCAATGCTTGCCACCGCCTACGTGGGACGGCGTCAGCGAGGCGTTCAGAGACTACGAGATCCGAGCCAAGCTCTGGTTGGCGACAACCAAAGTTCGTCCCCAAGTCCAGGGACCTCTTCTACTGAAGAACTTGAGTTCCACGCCGTTTGACGACCTGAAGCATCTGGCCCGTGAATTTCTGTGGATGCAGAGCAGCACCACCGGCGAAGAACTTCTTCAGAAGATGGCCACCAAGGAGCTCTATGGCGAGGACGAGCGCGAGAAGATGATCAACACCCTGGCGAAGCTGACTTACACCCTTAGGAGGCAGAAGAACGAGGGCCACAAAGCTTTCTTTGCCAGGTGGGAAAACCAGATAAGAAAAGTCAATGAACACAAGGTGGTTCTCCCCTCTGAGTACCTGGGATTCCTACTGATCAATGCCCTGCAGTTGAGTCAGAATGACATCAAGCTGTTGATGAATGATAACCAAGGAAAGTTGACTCGTAAGGTTGTCAAGGAATGGACCCGGGTGAAGGAATCTGACCTCGCCTGGCGGAACACCGAGGCCGGCACGATCCCGAAGAAGGCCAATGCGGTCCTCCACCTCGATGACGACATCGAGGACGGCCACCTGGGCACGAATGAGCAGGAGGAGGCCGACGAGGACCTGGAGATCCTGCTCAGCGCGATGGAGCAGCTCGAGGACCACGAGGAAAACTCGGACCTAGGCGGTGACGTCTTTGACGAGGATGAAGTCAAGGAGGTTTTGGCGACGATGGTCCGAGAGCGTGGCAAGGGCAACGGCCGGAACTTCAAGGCCGTGGCAGATGCCAAGAAGGCGAAGGGTCTGGCCCGAGGCTACGGAATCCACAGAGATCCTCGCTGCCGGTTCAACGCGAAAGGTGACCATGGCGGCATCCAGGCCGGGAACTCCTACAAGGTGTCGATCGAGCTGTTGAAAAAGCGGACCCGTTGCAAGAAATGCAACAAGTTACTGGCACAGGGAGTGCCCGGAGAAGGACAAACCTTCGGCTCGCGAAGCCCACTACCTCGAGGAGGACACCGAGGAGGCCTTGTTTATGCACTACATGGATTACCTGGACGAATGCCGAGATTCGCAGGCCTCCAGCTCCGGGAACCGTGTGGATCTGTCGGGAACCTCTGAGGGACCGTATCTCGGAGAGTTTTGCAGTAGCGCCCAAGGACGGCCAGGATGCTCGCAGATCTCAGGAGCATACATGTGTTCAGCCCTAGGTCTTCCTCACGAATTGCATGTTCTAGTTCCGACGAACGAGGTTGATGAGTCACTTTGTGCTACAATCGATACTGGGTGCCAGAGGACTGCAGTTGGAAGAGAGACGCTAGATCGAATGATTGCAAGCCAACCGAAGGGAACTAAGCACTATCTTAAGGACGAGGTTCACCTGTTCAAGTCCGTCAACGGTACCTCCAAGACCTCACAAGTGGCATGTATACCATCAAGTCTCGGGCCCCAAGGTTGTATCCTTCGCCCTGCAGTGTTCGATGAAGGCATGAGCTCCAAGGCCCCGTTCTTGATTTCTTTGCCGTTCCTCATCTACTGCAAGGCCACTATGATTTTAGATCCTGAGCAGGGCATGCGACTCAAGTTGGGACGGTTCGGGTGTGAAGTTCCTCTTCATATTGGGCCCACCGGTGCGCTTAGGGTCCCACTTGGGAACTTTTCAAGAGATATGCTTTGTCTGCTGAACCGTGCAGTGGACAAGTTAGCCTCCGAAGCCCCAACTCTCGAAGCTCTATCCAGGATTACCGGAAGAACTCAAAGCGCACCGAGAACGGGTCCCACGAGATCCTGGATTACCAGAAGAACCCCAAGCACAACGAGAACGAGTCCCATGAGATCCTGGATTACGAGAAGAACCCGAAGCACAACGAGAACGAGTCCCATGAGATCCTGGCGGGTGATTTAGGTGTAGAAGAAGCAGGGCAAGAGGCTCCAATGGTCACTGGACCACAGGACATGGGAGTCACCGCAGAGATGCTTCAGACCGAAGGGGTCCACGAACTAGAGAATGAGACCGTGGCGGTGATCTTACATGAGGCCGAGGTGATCCCAAAACCAGACACCTACGAATCATGTCGAGGTTTCCCTTGGAGAACCACCTGGCAACGAAGAGAGGATGGGACATGGCAGCTCCTGGAAGACGAGATCAGGTGGGAAGAGCTCCATCAGCCTGAACGACACCTACCACATGGAGGAACCCTTGTGGTGCTCTTCCGGAAACGCATAGATGGCCGACCGAGCCGGCATGTACGCAACTTCCCGGGGATGCAGGCGATCACCTTGGAAAGAATGGTGCACCGAGCCCACGAAGGACTCGGACATCCCGAGTTGAACCGGTTTCTTCGCATCCTGCGGCTTTCCAAGGTCTCGGACCAGGTGCTAGAAGTGGCTAAAAAGATGCGGTGCTCGGTGTGCGAGGCTTACAAACTTCCTGCAGCAGCCCGACAAGGTGCTCCCCCACGCGAGGAACTGTTCATCAACGACCTGGTCGGCGTGGACACGATCCACCTCAGGAACCACAAGGGCGAGGCCGTGCCGGCACTGAACATGATTGACTGGCGCTCTCATTTTCAATTGGTGGTGCCAATGGAGACCGAGAATGCCAAAGAAGCGAGAACGGCCTACAGACAATGGATCCGCTTTTTCGGGCCACCCAAGAAGGTTATGCTTGACATGGGCTCCGAGTTCAAGGCTGAGTTCAAGAAGCAGATCGAGGCCGACGGCTCTGAGACGATTCCCGGGGCCTTGGAAGCCTCGACACAACGAGGACTCACCGAACGAGCCGGCGGAGTGTACAAGGACATCCTCTACAAGGCCGTGATGACCTACACCTGTTCAAATTTAGAAGAGTGGAAGGAGCTGGTCGACACGACGTGCATGACCCGAAACCGGCTTCTACTTCGAGCCGGGTACTCTCCTATTCAGCGAGTGATTGGCTACACCCCTCGGCTTCCCGGTGGGCTGCTCAGCGGAACGGACTCTGATCAAGGCGTGGCCAGTCTTAGGCAAGCCGGAGACGTGCAAAAGGCCACGGCGATGAGGAAGGCAGCCTTAGCCTTCCACGAGGCGGACTGTGATCAAGCCCTACGGGCGGCGGCGCTTGCTGGGCCACGGAAACACCGTCTCTGTGCCTTTGAACGGAACCCGACAAGAAACTTCAGACGTCATTCCCGAGGGCGGTTGTGAAGAAGAGGGAGAACCTGACCAAGGTAGAGATGCGGGCAAAGATGAACCACCACCGCCACCTCGACTTCCTCCTCCACGTCGCGTACGGCAAAAGACGAATCCGGCTCCCAACCAAGGGGCCGAAAGGAGTCAACCTAGCGAGCCAGAAGAACCAATCTTCCGGGAGGACGGACCGCGAGAAGAACACGGAGAAGTTGAAATGGAGGCCGAACAAGAAGATCAAGAAATGCGAGCGGACAATAAACGCGAGGCCGAGGATGAGATCGCACCGGAAGGAAAACGCAGCCGGGCCGCGCTCCTAGAGATCTACCACATGAACTTGAAGAGTCTGGCCAAGCAACGCCAGAAAAAGGAGGCCAAGGTGACCGACTTCCACGGCAAGGACGCGACCAGGTTGCACAAGGCGATCCTCAAGGAGATCAACAACAACTTGGCTACCGGCGCCTATGAGATCCTCCCCCTCAAGGAGTCCGAGCAGGTCCGAGCGACAAGACCCGAGAAGGTGATGGAGTCAAGATATGTCTTGACAAAGAAACCACTGGAACCAAGCGAGGTGAACAAGGCGGCAAGCGAGGACCTACTCCTGGATGACAGGACGCACGGACCTGTCAAGGCGAAGTGCCGCCACGTGATGAAAGGCTTCTCCGACGAAGCGGCCCTGGACGTCGAGAGCACAACACCTCAGGTCAACCGAGATTCAGTGATTTTCGTGACCCAGGTTCTGGCCAGTCTTGGATGGGATCCCGGATTTCTGGATTTCACCAGGCTTTCCACTCCGGGGACCGCGTCAACCGGGAGCTCTATTGTTCTCAGCCAAGAGAAGGGATCCCAGGGGTCCACCCAAAGCAGCTGATTCGGCTGCTGAAGACCTGCTACGGCCTGACGGATGGACCTTTTGCCTGGTACCAGCACCTGAGCAAACGTCTACTACGAGACGGCTATATGCAGAGCCGCTCCGATCCCTGTGTGTTTCTGCTGCACGAGAAGACCTCAAACGGAGAAAACAAGGAGCTCAAGGGAATCATTGGTGTGGCGACGGATGATCTACTTCATGGTGGTGATGCCGATCATTGGCGCAACATCAGTGCCATCGCCAGGGACTACAAGCTCGGCAAGAACCAGACCATGTCCGGAAGGTTCACGGGAAAGGACTTTAAGAAGGAGGCCGACGGCTCGATTACTATCTCCCAGGAGTTTTATGTCAACGAGAAGGTCGAGCAGATTCCTTTAAGCCGAAAGCGAAAGTAACAAAGGTATTCTAACTGCGACGCCAAAGAAGTGGAACAACTTCGCAATCGTCTCGGCGTTCTTTCCTGGTTGGCGAAAGAGACCAGGTGCGACCTTGCCGGCCGAGTCTCCTTGCTGCAGCAAAGCTTCCCCGAGCCGAAGGTGATGGACTTAGTGGAGTGCAACAAGATCAGCGAGGAGGCTACCAAGCACAAGGACCTAGGAGTCAAGGCGGGATGGGGCAATGCCAAAGAGGCTGTCTGGATTGAGAATTCAGAGGAGGACGTCTGGGAAGAGACCCCAGACCGATGGATCCGTCACCACCGGACGGAGCGACGGACGACATTCCATCCAGGCGCAGCTTCTGGAGGACCAGACCTACACGATCTACTACCTGCAAGGCGAGCCGAGTACTTCTCCGAGAACGAGGGCGTGATGAACTACGAGATTTGCGAGGACGAATGGTGCGACCAGAAAGGAATCAGGCTTCTCAAGGAATCCTGTTGGCGAGGCCAGACGATATTCTACAAGGCAGCCGAAGGACAGGGAGTTTCCCATGGACAAGTGCATTCGAGCCTGACCCAACTTCAACAGCTGAGCAGCCAAGGTGGACAGATCATCATGTACCACGACAAGAGGCTGGCAGAAGATAGCCAGCCAAGAATGGTCACCTTGGCTGCCTGGAAGAGTTTCAGGCTGAAAAGAAAGACAGTGGACACCTTGGCCGCGGAGGGCCAAGCCTTACAGTCCGGCATCGGCAGCATTCACTGGCACAGGCTTATGTTCCTGGAGGCGTTCTACGGCATGATGACGACGACTCAGTGGAGAGACGAATCAAGACGACTGCCATTCATGGCAGCCGTGGACTCAAAGAGCCTCTACGACGCCACCAACAAGTGTGCCAGCACGACAGCCTACATCAGCGACAAAAGGACCGCCATTAACATCGCGGCTATCAAGGCAGACCTTATAGAGACCAGCGGAAGAGTCCGCTGGATCGACACACGAGCTATGCTGGCCGACCCTCTGACAAAGCCTCATCCAAGCAATTATTTACGTTTCGTCATGCGATCCGGCCGATGGTCGGTCGTTGAGGAGGGGACCGCTCTTCAGCACAAGGCCTTGGAGCGTGAAGGGGCAAAGCCACATGCTCTTTATCTGATGTTTTGGGAATTTAGAGTGTGAGCGGTGTGTTTTCGTTTCGGTGTGTTCCCAAAACTTCCTAGCAAATCTTTCGTAATGTTTTTTTCTATTACGGAAATTATTCGCACGATTTATGGTAAAACCGCTCGGGCGAGGAAATCTGCACGGATTGGGACAAATCTGTTCGAGCTATTTCGGGGATTACTGATACGGGTTGGATATGGGTTTATAGGGCTGAATAGAGCATAAATCTAGTATCATCGACCTCAAAACAGAGGCATTCGAAAGCAACTTATATAGATCCCAGCCCCCATGAAGCCCACATCCAATACAGAGCACGCGCGTGGACATTTTCTTCGATCATCAGCGACCACCGGTCCGGTGCTCAGTGCAAGAACTGCGCATACTGGCGCCGGTAGAAGACAAGGGATTTTGCAATGGTTCGACTGACAAGTAGGAATGGATGACATTTGCGAGTAACACGACAGACTCTTCCGATGTAGTCCTCATCACTCCAGGTTGCCCAGCCTGAGCTAGTGCATTTATTGATTCATAGGACGTCACCTATACATTTAATGCACTTATTAATGGCAGTCTTGCTGCTCATCGTGTTGTGCACACGTCGGCATCCAGCTTCCAGGGCCCACTGCACTTCCAATCTTGCAGGCTTTGGAAGCACATAAGTTTCAGGACTCTTTCGGGGTCTATATAATTGTAGAGCAGATAAAAAATTTATCAAGCTAGTGCATTCAAAGGCTCACCAAATGTGCCTGCATGTGAAGTTTTGGCCTGTACTTGTAGAGAACCCATTTGCGTTCCATTGCCGTTTTGGCGAGCAGGTCATAGCCTTCCTTGATCGGATTAGGGGCAAATAGCAGTGCATGCATGGTATAGTACTTCTCCAAAACAGATATGCTAAGCCTATAAAAAAAATCCATGCAACCTTAACCCTCTAAGGTTTATACGGTTTAGGATTTAGGGTTTGCTTCTTCATGATTCCAAAAGGGCTTATAAGATTGATCATCGAGTGTCTAACATTTTCCAGCCACTCTCCACTACAATCTCCGCGTCGGAGCGGTCAAGGAAAACTCCTGCCCTGTAGAGGGTCCTGTAGTAGTAGCCACAGGCCCGCAATGTCCAAGCAAGTAGCTGCAAAATATGAAGGTCTCCAGGTGCCTAAGACAACATATTCATATGTCTCAGCTAGTATAGTTAATTGGGTATGCAAAACCTGCCATATAATATGACCAAGAAGCCACGGCATCCACTGTCAAGTTCTGTAGATATGCTTCCAGCCAGGCTAGCATCACGGCACAATCATGGCCCTTCCCCAGGCCACCTGGAAATTGCTTCAGCCTGATTTGTTAGGGAAACAGCTCGCTAACCCACAACCACCTATAGATATAGCTAGGTAAATAAGTTCTCCCCATGCAACGATCTGTCGGTCTTGAGGCTCTTGAAGTCAAAGCGTACGATCGACGTGCTCTTTCCAGTGGCCCGGCAAAACTCTCGAAAATAGCTGTAGGCCAGCTCCAAGGACTTTTCGATTGACCCATCCCAAATAACTCTCAGATGAACAAGTGTTAGCAAAGCACCAGCCGCTAGGTCCTTTCCCCAACCATTGATAGCATAAGTGTGAGCAGGATCAGGATGGATTGCCAAAGGATTTGACCCTATGGATGCCAGGGATCGTAGAGGGGATGCAACTCCTGGCTTGTATGGGCTTGGGGCGGGATCGTCTCTTCGGAGCTTTCGCACACCACCGTGCTTGGAGAGATCGTACCAGTCCTGACTATGTACATGATCGATTAATATTAGCTACACGAAAAGCATCCAAAACCAGCAAACTTTCCAAGCCTATCTAACATTCCAGGGTTGGGCTTAATTGCTTAGGGATGTGGCCGATATGATTTGTTAAAGCTTCTGTGGATGGGCATATGTGGCACACACGTTTGGAAGTGAATCCCGTGGCCAAGTGCATACTGGTTCGTAGCCATGGCCAATCTCCCTTCACAGCAGTTGTAAGCAAGTGGAAGTTCATCTGCTGCCCATTGATGGTCACCTAAGCTACATGAGATCCTCATAAAAGGCTCAGGTCACAAAGCTTTATTTTTGGGGCCAGGGTCTAGGGTGGGTCTACTGTACCTAGGCAATGTTGTAGTAATTCTACCATTGATAAGGGTATGCAGACTATATCCATATATAGCTCTATATATATACACAGATAGCATAGTAAAGGGCTTAGGGTCAAGGAAAGTCTAGGCAAGCAGCTTCCACCCCATTGTGGTATACATCTTCTAGATCAGTGACCATTGCTTCAAGCAAGACATCCAGGGTCTTGGCAGCATACATTTCACTCGGCACACATGTAAAGAGAAACCTGCTCATGAATGAATGCCTTTGATGTTCCAGGGATAAGGACCAAACGTACCATTAATTAAGTATACATTTTATAATGTACATGAGTTCTGGGGACCTATCGATTAGGCATGTAAGAAAACAAAGCCTAGGAAGATCTATGGCACATATACATGGCAGGGATCCCTGAAGAGTTGGTGACGGCAGGCCCAAGGGAAGTTATCAGCGGTTGCCATGAAACCACCATCACGGGCTTGCAGGTCTTCCCTCGGCCCTCATCACCATGAATACAAATCGGTACAGAGGCTGCCGGCTTGAGGCCATTCATGTGCAGACCAGGCATCGACTCATTAAAGTGCTGCCAAAAATCCTCGAACATCGAGCTCCAGTCTGCAGTTGATTCGATATCATGTCCACCAAGAATTACTTCGGGGCAGGAAGTCAGCAAGAACCGAAACCAGCTTGAGGGAAGCAATACTGGAAAGTTGATCTGCGTGACTTTGGGCCTCCCACCCCGGACCAGGCGCACTGGAGCATCGATAAAGGTCACATCGATGGGTAAACTTCGGCCCTGACGAATGATCAACTTATGTAGGTTGCGGCTAGCATTCTTTTGGCCTTTGGACCCACTTCCACATGCTGCAATCTGACTCAGCACCGGATCATTTATGCCTTGGCATATCACAGTCACAGCACTATTCTTGACCAAGCCAACACATCTCACATAATTATGCAGTACTACAACATTGCCCAAGGCACCTTTTTTTCGTAGTTTCCTTGAAGCAACTTGTGCTACCCGGACAACTCTTCCAGCACTCTCTGCCTTGGGGCTTTGAAGATACCAGACGTATACTGTTGAAAGAAGCATATATCTATGCAAGACACCCCCTGCTCAAAACCACGGAACAGCTCATCTGCAAGGTCATCATCGGAGCTGCCATCAGATGGTCCTGCAGGAGCGAGATCTGTGTATTTGAGCCAGGGAGTTTGGAGGCTGGCTTCAGCTTCGAGGGCTTCGGGTCAAGTTTTATGGCTTGGGTTTGTTATTAACTAGCTATATTTATATATATATATAATATATATATATATACACACATTATAATTTTAAAGTTGGATCTGTTTGTAGGGGAAGGGTCAAAGACGGGCTAAATTGTCTGCTTCTTCTGGTTGTACTGGAGTTAGAGATCTGGACCCATACACACGTAGGTTTTACCAGGTTGCTTTAGACTAGCTAGCTTCTGGAAATCTAGGTAGGTCTTAATTATAGGGCCCTATAACTTGCTTTGGGTTTCAGGGTTTGGGGGTCAAAGCTTTTGCGGGATGAATTAATCCAGCTAGGGTATGACAACCCCCATACGGTCCTCCAGCCTTGGCCGGCTCTGTTCCAGTCGCTAGCAGACCTGCGAAAGAACCCAGCAGACCCCCACAAAGTTCAGGTGCATGTAGCTTGCAAGCAAGTGCACACAGAATCGAGGTTGGAAGCTCCAGCAAACTCTTCACCCGATCCTTTTCAGCGCATCCTTGCCACCCCATCCGCGCTGAGCTGCACACAGATGAACTTGTTCGAATTTAACATAAGGTTGTGAGAAAAGTTAAGGCGAAAAGCACACCAACGAATGCACAGCCATCGGGGCCATACTTGCACCAGTATGACAAACAGCTGTATGGGCAGGGCTACATGATACATCTTGCTGCACAATCGTTGCACGGCAGACCTCTCACATACACACAAACACCCAGGGTGCAGACCAGTGCTGCTCGCACTGCACATGAAGCACTAGCCCTTCGGCTAGACAGTGCTCTTCTTTGTAGCCTTCTTCTTAGCACCTCCCTTGGCCTTGGCCTTTGGCTTCCCGGAACTCGAGGGTGCCACGGATCTCGCTGACCCAGCACCCTTGATGGCCCTTAGCTATCTGTACTGGGTACATGTGCACATAGTGGCTGAAGTCTGTTCCTTGCAAAGCCATGAGACTTGGCTCGCTGAACCAGGTTGTTAACCAGCAGGTCCAACTTTGTGATATCAGCGTAGAGCTTCAGCAATGAATCATTGAAGGCCCTCAGAAGCAAACTAGATTGATCGTGCATGTACAGTACATAATGTTTTGCAATCGGACGTGTTTATACATTACTCAGGCTAGGACTTGTCAGGGCGGGCACTGACAGCATCCGCTTGCTTGGTAGTCAGCAGCTTGAAGAAACCTTTCATGTCTTTCAGGCTGTCGGCCATCTGATCTCGAAGCCTCAGCTTCAACAATCATAGAGAGATTGTGATAGGTTAGTAGTAGTAGTAGTAGTA